CTTAAGATCTGTGCAATTTTTGGTAGGTAAATTTTACCACAAAAGAAAAAAAAAGCTTAATAATAACAACAAAGTAACCTAGATGCCTTAGATCAAAGGAATTGATTTTTAAAAAAGTAGTAAGTATTCACACAATGAAATGTTGCACAGCCATTAAAATGTTCCAAAGGCTAAAGGCAGAGGGAAATGCTTTTGTTAATATGTGTATTAGTCAGGGTTCTCCAGAGAAATAGAACCAATAGGAGATAGATTGATTGATTATAAGAAATTGACTCATGTGATTATGGAGGCTGGCAAGTCCAAAATCTACAGAGCCAGTGTCCCAGGTCAAGTTTGATGGCCATCAGGCAGGAGAATTCTCTCTTACTTATGGAAGGGTCAGGCTATTGTTCTATTCAGGCCTTCAAGTGATTGGATGAGGCCCACCCACATTAGGGTCAAAAATCCATTTTACTCAGTCTACTGATTTAAATGTTAATCTCATTCAAAAGTACCCTCACAGAAACACCCAGAATAACGTTTGATCAAAAATCTGAGCACCCGGAGCCCAAGTCAAGTTGACACATACAATTAACCATCACAATATGGTAGATGAAAAGATAGGGTAACAAAACCTCCCGGTCCTAGTTTCCTAAAGCATACGTGAATGAATTGCATGCACATTTTTAAGACATGGCAAACACGTTATATGTATATTGATAGACTAGAGCTAGACTGAGATTTTTTTTTTTTTTTTGAGGAAGATCAGCCCTGAGCTAACATCCGTGCTAATCCTCCTCTTTTTGCTGAGGAAGATCGGCTCTGAGCTAACATCTATTGCCAATCCTCCTCCTTTTTTTCCCCAAAGCCCCAGTGGATAGTTGTATGATATAGTTGCACATCTTTCTAGTATGTGGGACGCGGCCTCAGCATGGCCGGAGAAGCAGTACGTCGGTGCGTGCCCGGGATCTGTACCCAGGCTGCCAGTAGCGGAGCGCGCACACTTAACCGCTAAGCCATGGGACTGGCCCTAGACTGAGATATTGAACATGGTTTTGTCTGGCTGCGAGACTGCATGTGATTTTTATTTTCTTCTTTCCTTCTTTGTTTTCCAAGCTCTCTCTGATTTGAATGAATCTCTCACCTTCTACTTGACCCGCTGTTTCCTCATCTGTAAATGTCGTAGTCTCGGCCTCGTTCCTAACTGTAAATACGATAGTGCATGTAAAGAACTGATGCAGGGCCCAGCGTGGTGTTAGTCCCCAACAGGCCTTAGCATCTGTCCTGTCCTGCCCTCCATCAGGCCAAGGTGCAGAGGGAGACAGCTTTTTCTTGTTTTCCCTCAGCCCACCTCAAGACAAGAGGGGCAGGATCATTCTGACATTTCACAAGAAGGGCAGCCCCCTCAGGAAGGGCCCCCAGCAAACTCTAGAACTCAAGTCACCTTTAGTTTCCTGACCTACTCTGCTCTATCCTGGGCCATGCAAAGACAGGGGGGTTTTCTGGAAGCCAGGTTGTCTGCCCTAATCCAATTGTGACAAACTTATGGAAACACTCTCCCATTAGGCTCATCAAGGGTTCGCCCACTGCTGGCTTCCTCTGGGACACCGCCAAGTCAGCCCTTCCCAAGGCCTCTCCCTGGCCCACCAGCCTCCACCTCGTGCCCCAGGCTGCCCTAGCCCTGCTCTGGTCCTTATAGAAGTCATGGAGGCTTCCCTAAGAGAATGACTACATGAGACATAAGGAGTACCTTTGTCCCCTCATACTGGCTCCTCTAGGGGCGGAGGGACCTGGGTGATCTCTGAGAGCTGGGGGCACCAACTGACCCCCTGCCGTCACTTGCCTACTCGCTCAAGCTCCCCTGACTTTTAAGGAGCCTCCTGTCTCCTGGTCACTACTTCAGTGACACCTCAACTGGACTCCTTTGCTCCAGGTGTCATGATAAACTCCACAGAAAAAGGCAATTCCTGCAGGAATACTGCTGTAAGGCATGGCACGTGGCTCTTCGCCACATTAACTCTGATCTCACCCTACAACATGAGTATCTTAATCCCATTGAGAGTTGAGGAAATTGAGCCTCCGAGAGGCAGGGTGGCTCACCCACTATCTTAAGTGCCAGGGGATGGATGCTGGAACCACTCTTGCTGCCTGAGCAGAAAGGGGTGTGTGTGTCACACAGTATTAGATGGCCAGAGGAGCAGCCCGGAGAAAAGCCCGACCACCCCACAGGGCTGCACTGGTCACAAGGGGCCCTCCTATAACCGGAGGAGGGGAGTGGAGCAGGAAGTGGGAGGTTAAAGATACTCGTTGAATTTTCACAACTAGCATGTGATCACACCTCACTCATGCGAATAAAAGATGAACAGCTTTTTGTAAGATAAAACCAATGAGAAGATATGACTGTGCTGACCCTGCAGGCGAAGTTGGGGGCCCCCGTACTGGACACCACAGGAGAGGATCAGGCAGGCCACCTCTGGGTGGACCTTCACTCTTTCAGCTCATCCTAAACCGGTCCTTGTGAAGAGTAAAGAAACCAAGGGACCCCTGGGGGGATGCCCTTCCACGGAGTATGGCCAATTCCTGGAGACTGGCCAAGGGATGGGAGGGTAAGGGAGGTCGAGAAGAGCTCAGACCATCAGTGCTGTAGGGTTTCCTGGGGTGTGGTGGCCGGATCCCAGGCACGGCGTGCCCCCTAGCCCTCTGCCCCCAGGGTCCACGCCATCAGTGTTTCCTTGTCCTAGGAGCTCCTCAAGAAGAAAGCAATGGAGGCCGGAGCCCCAGGCTGAATTCTGATCAGGAACCTCACTGCCCCTGTGCACCAGCGCCCGCGCCATCCTAGATCTCGCCACGCCCAGCAAGAGTGACGTGTTCACTCTCTTCCCTGAAATGCCACAGGCTCCGGGAGGGCAGGGCTGTCTCTGTACACAGCCCAGTTTTCATTCGTTGAATCACTGCCCACAGCCCACGTGCCAGTATCTCCACCCTGCACACCCACCCTTATATACAGAACCCTGTGTGCGCTCATTACCACCCACAGGTACACTCCTGAGCCAGGCGGGGTCCCAGCGGGACCCAGGTAAGGCCCGTCTGGTCTGCGCATGGTGGCAAACTGGTGTGGCCGGACCCCAGAAGACCTGGGAGCCTCCAGGAGAGAACAAATCATGAGGGAGTGGGAGCCAGGCATATCAAGGTCACTGGCCAGGGGTACCAGGTCCTCAGGGGGCAGCTCAACCAAGTGACCCAGTCGGGATCCTCAGCTACAAGTAAGCACAGACCCAAGGGCTCGTTCCAGTGACACCTCCCAGCCACGGCACCTGAGGCGGGGGAGGGCATCGGCGATGCCTGACCTCCTAGAGCAGCCCGGATGCCCGCCTGACAGTGACCAGACATGTCGGTGAGTGGGGGACTACGCCTGAGCACCCCAAAGGGCTTGGAGAGAGCTCTGCAAAGTTGGTTAAAACTGACCGCAGGCTTACTCCGTGTTGGGCACTGGTCTAAAGTCAGACACATACTCACTTGTTTAACCAGAGGCTTCAGACCGCGTTGACCAGCGGAGGTACTGAAATGTGAGCCTGTCCCATCTGTGTCACTACTACTGGATGTCCTCCCACAGGCTGCCGCAGGCCTGCAGAACTCGGGGACACACGTGAACACACCCACCCACTCCTGTGTGTCCCCACCCAGACCCCCTCGTCCCAGGCAGAGAACTGCAGAAATGCACGCACGCGCACACACACACACACATATCCTGGAGCACACACCTCTACACTCAGAAGCCACACGGACCATCCTTGACTCTGTTGTACTAGGAAATGACCCCGGGAGGCCTTCCCTCCCAGGATGGGGAGATCACCAACCCTAGCGCAGTGGGGGCTCTGGGTTCCATACTGACCACCCCAGCTGACCTCGGAACTACAACCCAGAAGGCCTTCTTCCCTTAATCCTGGAAGAGCTTGGGGAGAATTCTGGGGTCAGTGCTCTCTGCCTCACTTTCCCCATGGCCTCTTTACACACCAGTCTCTCAATGTAAGTGTGTTCCAGCATCCTGAAGGGGGGGTGAGAGGAGGAAGTGGAGGCTGAGGTCCACCCTCCTTCATAGCCCCTGAAATTCCACTTTGTTCCATTTCCCTGGATACAGCAGCCCTTCACACTTTAGTAGGAATTAGCCTGTTATGTTGCTTTCCTCAAGGAGGGGCTCAGCATGACAGCCCTGGGCATCCACAGCGACATGCTTATGGAGTTTGGAGATATGAAGTAGAGGGATGTCTGTAAAAACCTACCTTCTTTGAGAATCAGAAGCACTAAGGGCAGGTGCTCTCAACTCACCCTGCCCACCCACCATTGCTCTGAAAGAGCAGGGACCCCAGCTTGCAGCAGCACCATAACATCTGCCCCAACTGAAGACGTCAGCAGGCAGGCACACACCACATTTAGCCATTTTTAATGCTCAAAAGCTCTGTACAAAAAAAAAAAATCACGAATGAATCCTCACAACACCCCTGTGAGGTAGGTAAGCAAGTATTATTCTCCCATTTTACAGACGGGGAAACTGAGGCAGAGAGGTGAAGTGACCGGCCAGTGGTTGCAGCACAGCTGAAAGTCAGGGCCAACCGTAAGAACACGAAGGAGCCCTCCCAGTTCAGCCCTGATCTCTGATCCCTCATCTAGACCTTGTCTGCAAAGAAATTAAAACTTTTTAATACATGCAAAAATAAAAACAAAAACAACAAATCTGAGAAGGTAGTGAACAGACATACAGTAGTTTTGCAAAAGAATTCATCCAAGATGGTCAAATATTTTCCAATACTAGGTAGATGTGAACAACTTCGGCCTCTCCTCCCCTTTTCAAATATCACGCCCGGAGACACGCCGGCCCATTTCTCTGTAGAAGTGCGCGCGCCCATCCAGAAAGGCCTCCCTGGCCCCGACAGCCAGGCCAGGTGGACACCTCTGCATTGCTCAGCCCCCAGTTCCAGCAGACACCAGTCCCCAGAGGCAGAGCTGCAAGACTGAATCCACACCGCCTGCCTCTCTGAGCAGCCTTCCCGCTGTCTGGACGGAGCTGATCCCAGCCGCTAACGCAGAGCACTTGTTCCCTTCAGCTCCCACTGGAAGGCAGCTCAACGGTGCTCCGCGAGGATGGCCTGGGATCCACGTGATGCCTTGCGCCATCCTTAGCCCACTGTCACACACTCCCCGATTCACTCGGGGTGCCCACGGTCCTGGGGGCTCCTGCTGCAGCAGGTAGGGGTCTGGGGCCATCCTCCGCTGGTGGGGCAGAGAGCATGAGCAGAGGGACCTGCAGCAGGGGGCTCTGGCCTCCTCAGAACTTCCTGCCCAAGCTCCAGGGAAAGGGAGCAGGCCTGTTCCACAGGGCTGCATCCATCTTCTGGAAGCTCTCTCCTCCCCTGAGAGAGACTCGCTGATGTTTCCAGTCCTGGAAACCTGCAGTCCTGCCAGCCCCAGGGGAGGGGAAGCAGAGAGAGGCAGAGGCCTCGGCGGACCCACCGCACCACGTGGCTGTCCTTCCTGAAGTCTCCAGGTTGGAGATGGGGTACCAGAGGCAAGAAAACTGGGTAAAGCTGCCTTTAAAGTAACAAATCCACCCGGAGCGCCATCCACTCCCCAGAGAGCAAGGGGCCCAGCCCTGGAGCGCTCAGACAGCAAAAGGGGAGACACCAAGCAGGACAGCTGTAGCCAGGGAAAGAAAGAGAAGGAAACCAGCACTGGCCGGCCCGCTGGGCGCCAGGGACTGTCAGAGCTGCTCTGTACGGAAGTGGCCAGTAGCTTGGTTTCGCACCTTGGGGAGTGAGCTCCTTAGAGGACTGACACCGCCCGTCTGCAAGGCGCACACTGGGCCTCGCTGGAGGGCCGTCCACACGCCTGCCGTTACAAGGTATAACTGTGTGCTAATTGTCCTATAAAAAACTCTTTCAAAACGGGTCCCAACCCCACCCCAGTCTCTCTGGGAAGCTGGGGAATCACGGCCTCAGGGCCACTCCCAGTGAAGAGCACCTCTCACGCTTCCAGCCTGCGTGTGGCCCTGCGGGAGGGGGCAGGCGCAGGGGCCGGGGGAGCACGTCCTACAGGAAGTCCCCAGCAGCGGAGGGCTCGAGGCTGTGGCTCTGCTCCTGCCACCGCCAGCGCAGCCTCGAGAAGGGCTGGTCCTCCACGCTCTCGAGCTCTGGGAAGCCCAGCTGGTTGAGGATCTCGTAGACTCCGGCCCTGGATGCCACCTGGGAGGAAAACAGATGGGAGCAGCATTCCAGTGAGAAAGGGTGTCATTCGGGTCAGCCTGCCCCCTTTGCCATGCCGTCCGCCCCTCATGGGCTCCAAAGCACACAGGAGAGTCTGGGCCTCCCGCCAGCTCAGTGCCCTGACCGAGTGTACATTTTGACTTCTGTTAATGGCTCTGAGCTTCAGTCTCCTTGTGACAGGGTAACAGTCTCTACCTCCCAGGACCGTCGTGGAGGCTACAGAAGCACAGAAAGCACTCAGCAGACAGCAAGTGGAGAGCAGCAGCGGCGGCCGAGCACACCCTGTGCCCATGCAGCCTCGACGCTCCACGGGGACTCCCAGGAGCACAGGGCATTACAGCTGGGGCCCGCAGGGAGGGCTGGGGAGGGTAGTGTGGATGCAGGAGCCAACAAGGGCCCTTGGCTGGGAGTTCCGGCTGGACCCCGGGCAGGCCCACATAGGCCTCAGCCGCGGCCCCTACTTCCCCACAACCCTGTCACCCAGGCCCTGGCCCAGACTCAAGCCACCCATCAACCAGCCCCCTTCTCTCCCCACCATCCTGGGGGTTGGGGAGGATGCAGGCTCCACTCAGAACAAAGGACCCTGGGCAACCCTCACCCCCACCCTCCATTCATCCCAGGAGAGAGGGGCTGAGGGCCCCTGAGGCTGGAGCCCACACTCCTGCCTGGAGGCAAGCTCCTCCCCAGCCCCTGGCTCTCTGCTTCCAGTCTCCAAGCAGAAGCCGAGCAGAAGCGTCCGAGGTCCCCCCCCACCTCCACCCACCCAGGGGCTCAAAGAGGAAGCTGAGCCCAGGCCTGCTTCAGAGGGGGGCCCTGCCGTGGCCTTGGTGTGACTCACCCCCCATCGGGTCTCCTGACTCCCACTCATGAGCCTGAGGACCACCCTCAAGGCTCATCTTCAGCACAACTGCCCAGTAGCACCATTCCGGCCCCCGGGCACTGCAGTGGCCTCCCTGCCTCCATCCCCTTACAGCTCTGAACCCATCTCACACCTGCCTAAGCCCCCATACCCTTCCTAGACCCCCTCTGGCTGGGGTCACCGGCCTCCCACCCACCTGCGCCATGGCAGCTAATGCCAGCCTTGAGTCCAGATTAGAGCCGCCAGGGCTGGGCTGGTGAGGTCAGCAGGGGCAGCTTCCTGGCAGAGGGTAATTACAGGCCGCTTTGCTGGGGAGGGAAGGAGGCCTCTCTCCTGGCCTAGAGATGCCGAGGTGGCAGCTCTGCCTCTGAAACCAGCCGAGCTGGAGAAGAGCCGAGCGGCCAAGCAGAGAAGGACGGCGGAGGTGGAATGTGAGGGCAGGGTTTTAGGCCAGACATGGTGGACTTGGAACCAACCAACTGGCTCTAACGCTGACCATGAAGAAGGTACTTAACCTCTCTGTGCTCAGTCTCCTCCTCTGTAGAATGGGGGAGTAACAGCATCCATTTAAGGTGGACCGGCCCAGCACAGGGTCTGGCAGACAGCACTGTGTGTATCTCCTGGAGGCCCCACCACAACCTTCTGAGGCAGTGGGGACAGTGTCAACATTATTTCCATTTTAATGTTGAGGGCGGCAGGTTAGAGGGGTTAACTAACTTCTCCTAGGTCACAGCTGGGAGGTGGCAGAGGCTGGGCCACCATGCCACCTTGCCCCTTGCAGAGCAGGTGAGGGCTGAACACAAACTGGGCAGGAAGTAGGACACTGCCCTGTTCTGTTCCCCACACGCCTTGTCTCCTCCTTCCTCCTCATTCATTCACTCATTTATTCACTCATCAAACTTTTACTCACTGCCTGCCAAGCGCAGACACCTTGCTGGGGACCCAAGGCCGAACAAGACAAAATCTCAGCCAAATGGAAGAGTGAGAGATGAGAACGCTTCCCACTCAACAGGCCTGTCACCGGGTCCCTGCAGGCGATGCTTAGGGCAGCCTCAGCCCGCTCTCACCTCCCGCATCCAGGCGCTGAAGGGCCGCTGCCAGGAACCGGCCTTCTCCAGGTGGAGGTAAGCGTTGAAGAGCACCAGGTAGACGTAGCGCTCCAGGTACTGCAGGCTCCGCAGCTGCAGCCTCCGGGCCTCCTGCTCCGACTTGGCTGCCTTAGCCTGGAGGACGGCGCGGGGCAGGAGTCAGCGTGCAGGTCCGTCCCCACCCAGCACACATGGACACACCACACACACTCACACCACACACTCACGTACTTCCACATACACCCCCACACTCACCCTACACCCACCCCCACATACACACACCCACCCCCACATACACCACACCAAACACACCTACACCACACCCATACACACATACCCACACACACACACCACTCACACACACATACACACTCACAGCACCAGGGTGGGGACAGGAGGAAGGGATTCACACGGCAAGGCCAAGGGCGTCCACTTCCTACCCGGGAGGTGTGGACAGGTCACCCGGCCTCCCTGAACCCCCATTTCCTCACTGTGAAATTATAACCACCATCCTGTTCAAGGGCGACCAGACAAGGACCGGCTGCCACAGGAAAGCTCCGTGCAGGCCTCCTCCATGACGCCTGAGGTGTAGAGAGGCCCTCCCGGGTGGTAGGCCCCACAGACCCTGAGACTGATGCCCAGCTCTAACCACTGGGAGGACCCTTATCGCCAGCTCCTGGCAGCGGCTCCTCCTCCAGCCCCCAACCCTCAGGACTAGAGGAAAGACTCTCAGCTCCTCTCTCTCCCAACCCCTCAGGCCTCCCTCAGGGAAGGGTGGCTATAAGGGCTCTGATCAGTGACCCGGGAGGGGGCCGGGGCAGCGGTCAGCAAGGTTAAGGTCTCGGCGCTCTGACTGTGGATGCAGCATGGACCCTCTCCCCTGCCCCGGCCTGGGCTCTGAGGCCCCCAGCTGCTCACAGCGGGGAGTACGGGGAGAAACCCCAGCTTGCCCTCTGATCCCGAGTGGTCCCTAACTGACTTCTTGCCTATTTCTCAAATGGTTCGGGATCAGAGGCAGACGGCATGCCTATGGCCCTCAGACCCCAGCCCTCACCCTCCCAAAGGCTGGGGACAGATTGCAGAGAGGCCACCAGGGGTAAGATCAGCCAGAGATGCAGCAGCTCAGGGAGGGGAGAGCGCTCAGGTGTGTGCGTTGGGGGAGTATGTCGTGGGGGCAGTGATGTTTTTAACAAGCAATCTTGAGCACCTTCTAGGAGGATGATACCAGGCCAGCACTGGGGAGAGCAGGGACAGCCAGGCAATTAACGAGGGGTTTCCCAGAGAGCATGTGATTCAGCTGGGCCAGGAGGGCCTGGCTGGATTTGGATGGAGAGAGCAAGCACCAAGTGGGGGCGGCATGGAGGTGAGGATTGGGCCCAGCAGGTGGGGAGTGGGAAGGGGCTGGCCTGGCTGGAACGAAGATATGAAGCGACAAGAAGGGGAAGTAGGCTGGCACCAATTATGGAAGCTGTCCCCATGCCTGGGAAGTCCATCCTGGAGGCCAGCTTCCCAATTCTGATATGCAGATGCCTGGGCCCCACCCCAGACCAATCAAATGAGAATCTGCAAGGGGCAGGCCTGGGCAGCAGGAATTCGAAAGTTCCCGGTGACTGTAGCCAGGGTTGAGCACCGGGCCTTTAGGGCTGGGAGCCACTGAAGGCTTGGGGGTAGGAGTGACCTGCTAGCAGAAGACTCATGGGAGACCAATGCTCGGGAGGAAGGGGACTCAAGGGGTCCTCTTGAGGTTCTTCTCTGTGTAGGGGTCAGGGCAGGCGGGGGACAAGGCCCAGGACACACAGAGCCAGCTCTCCCCCCGCAGAGTGTCTCTGCCAGCATGACGGACTGAGCTCCTCTCACCACCACAGATGGGCCGCCCGCCGGGAGAGTCAACACCAGGCCTCACCTGGCACCCCCCCCATGCCCAGGCCCCCCGCCAGAGCAGCTCTCTCTGCTCCTCTGCTCCGGGAAGAGGATGTGGCACAGGGGCCACCCCTCAAGCATCTGGAACATCCGCAGGAGGGCACAGCCAGCCCCAGGCCCCTGGACACCAGGATGGGCAGTCTCCCAACAGCTGGGCCACAGCTGGAAGCCTTCATGCACAGGCAGAGTCAGCCTACGTGTGTCTCCTCCAGGCTATCGCAGGAAGGCTTCCAGGTGGGACCCTCTTGACATGACATGACACACAGCACCAAGAACCACGAGCTAGAGTGGGCCTGCCTGCCAGGCCTGTGGTCCCCCACATCCCACTTCTGCTCGGGTGACTCAGCCTCTGATGCCTCTGCTGTCTTTGCTCCTGGGGTCACGTGAGTGGACAGTAACTTGCACAGCCCCCACCCACACCATCCAGAGGAGCTCTGGGGCCTTGGGGATGGGGGCGAGGGTGCAAGGCGGACAGAGGACGGGGCCCAGGAGGGCCGAGGGCCCCCAGCCAGTGCTCTGACTCCCTGGGAGACACGACTGAGTTCTGGTCCTGGTTTTGCCGTCAAAACTCTCAGCCACCGCGTTTCTGGAGGCAGGACTACTCAGTAAAGTAAGCTATGAGGAAGCACCTGAAACCACGGAGAGCCACGTGGTCCAATCACTCATGGAATGGGAGGGAGGGCTACACCTCGAGAGCGAAGCCCGCACAGGCCCCGCCCGCAGAGACGCCGCGGTCTGGCGTCTGGGGAGGCAGAAGACAATGCATAGCACCCAGAACAACCGGATCATGGGGTCCAGGCAGGGCGGTAGCTGGACCAGGGAGGCCATCAAAGAGGAGGCGGCATCTGAGGGGGACTAGGAGGAAGAGGGCAGAAAGATGCCCTGAGAGGGGGAGGCAAGGAGTCAGAGTGAGGCTTGTGGCAGCAGGGGAGGGGTGATGGCCGGAAGTGGGGCCCAGAGCAGGTGTGGAAGCCAAACCACGTCCTGACCCTACAGACAAAGCAGCCAGCGAAGGCTGCTGGTGACTGGAGGCTGGGAATGGCCTCAGAGCTGCTGCAGCAAGACAGCAGGGGCGGGGTGGGGGCAGGACGCCTGTTGTTGTAAGGACCAACCAACCAAGTGCTCAAAGGAATGCAATTTTGTTTAGAAATTAGGTAGTGGACCAAAAAGAAGATTTTACCTAAATACAAATTGTGGCCCACGTCCCACCAGGCAAGAGCCATTTTAAACTGAAATTTCAACTAAAGAGCTCAGAAGAAACATCCTGTGGGCAAGAAAAGCCCCAGCTCCGGGCTTGGCCCAGGACAGGGCCACACCAGCCCTATCCTCTCCGTCCCCCACTCCCGTGGGGACAGAGGCCTGCTGCCCTCGGAGACACCACCGAGGACTGAGTCTGAGGACTACTGGGAACACAGAGGTTGAATGATTCCTTCTGAGCACTCCTGGCAAGGTAGGGTAGAATTATCTCTAAATTCAGACCACTGGGTAAAGGTGATGCCTGACACCCCCAGAAGGTTCCGTGGACATATCCTGCCTGATCGCAGTCTGTGATTTGAGACAATGACCCATCTTCCCATCAAGGCCCTGGTTTCCTTAAAGTCACCCCATGTTGGCACCGTCTGGGAAGGACAGGCCAGGCGCCTCCTGTCAATAAACACAGTGGAGCTGTTTTTAAATGGCCTGGCAGGCCAGGCTGTCATTAGCTGCGGGAGAGCCAGACAAGGCTTCCTCGTCCATCAGGACTGAGCCCTAAAATAGAAGGGCCCAGGAAATTTGGCCAGGCCTCTCGAACCTGCAGTCTGCCAGGCATCAACGCAGGCCCAGAGTTACCAGCAGTGACTCTCTTGAAGCTCTGCTTTTGCTGGGCCATCTGGGAGAGGCCCACTGCAGCAGGGCTGGCAAGCCTCCCCAGGTGTGTTCAGGGCCTATGGCATGCCACGTGCCAGGCTGAGCAAGTCATATCCAGATCTGATTCTTAGATTCTAATGTGCTCTCCCAGCCACCCCATGAAGGAACAGAGACATCCCGTTTTGCAGCTGAGGCTCTGCAAGGTTAAGTAACCGCCCAAGGTCACAGCCTTCCAAGCTGGGACACGAACTCCAAAATCCCAGCTCTCCTACCACCGTAGCCCCTTCACCTGCCCAGGCCTCACTCCTGTCTCTGTGCTGGTACCCCCTCCTCCTCCTGTCTGGAATGCTCTCCCTTCCGCCCGGCCTGGCCCTGTTCAGCTTGTCCCTCCAGGCCTAGGACAGCCCCCACTCTCCCAAAGCGGGCTCTGCGCGCTCCGCCCCACAGCCCCAGCCTCCCGGCCTCTCGCTCTCAGTCTGAACCATTTCATTAAATATGGCATCACATTCCGTCTTGAGGGTTTCTAATTGCTTCGCCAAGGCGCGATCAGGTCCTGACAGTGATAAGCCCTGGGGCAGGCACCAGATTATAACCAGGTTTGTATCTCCCCCTCCTCACGGCTGGAGGGTCTGACCAGGACTTGGTGTGCAGCTGGTGCCCAGTGGGGTCAATGGGTACTCACCGCCCAGGTCATCTCATCCCATCTTAGGGCAACTCCATCCTTCCTGCTGCTCAGCCCACACCCAACATTCCTCCTTGACTTTCCCCTTCTCAACCGCACATCCAACCCATCAGGGAATCTCGTCGATTCTACTTCAAACGCTCCCAGAAGCTGCCCACCTCTCCGCACCCTGGTCCAGGCCACTTCACCTGAGTGACAGCCCCTGACTAGCCTCCCTGCCACCACCATCACCCCCACCCCTGCTGTCTATTCTCAACACAGCACCAGAGTGACTCTACCAGAGCATTAAGTCAGCTCCTCTGCCCAGCACCCTGCGTTGGCCCCCGGCACTCAGAGTGGAAGCCAAAGTCCCTGTAATGCGTCTGTGTGATCCCAGACAAGGCCCCATCCAATCTGCCTCAGCCCCCACAACCTCCGACCTCCTCTCCTGCCCCTCCCCGTTCCCTCCCTCTGCTCCTCAAAAACACCAAGCAGCTCCAACCTCAGGGCCTCTGCACTTGCTGTATCCTCTGCCTGGATGTTGTTTGCATGGCTCCCTCCCTCACCCCCTTCAGGTCTGTGTTCAAATGCCACCTTCTCATGAGTCCCTTCCTGACCCAGACCCTACGTAAAACTGCAAACCCCTCCCCGACAGACGTATCACCACCCGACCCACCACGACCTTCTCTTGTGGATTGTTCACTGT